ATTTTTCATAAGCACATAACAAGATTTCAGCAGGTAGTCAAGTATTTTACTCATCTAAAAACCAACAGTATACAAAAACACTATAGTTACCTACATGTACCTTCATGACATCCTTTATGTATGAACCTTAAACTGTTTTGAAACTCATTGGGATTATAAATGAGGAAGCAGACCCACACAATGGTGGAAAGGCTAACAGCACGGTTTTGCTCGCCCTTCATCTCTAAAGGAGCACTGCAAGGTGGTGACTGGATGGATGTTAGGGGCAGGTTTGTCAAAGTCTCAATTACAAAGAGCAGTAAGCTCAGGTGCTCAGCCCTCTAGCTACAGCTTTCATTCAGTTGCCCGACTTCAGGCATCCTTCCTGAAATGGATCCCCATCAGTATTTATCGCTAGACGTAGGATACCCTAAGTATAAGGCTGCTTCAAAAGCACAGTCTTGGAAATCTCTGCCAGTGGCAGAGCTGGGAAGGAAGCCCAGGACTGTTGATACTTGTATTTCTACCCACAACTTCCTACTCTACCAGTATATCACTGCCCACAAACTTTATGATTTATGGATCATTTGAAAAACAAATAAAATCCTCTTTAGATAAACCATACACAACCTGAAAGTCAATACAGTAAATATTCAAGATAATAATCAAAAACAAACATCCACATAATCAAGAAAGCTTTTCACTACCATTTTGCTGAGATGAAGCAACACTTGTATTCCCGTTCTGAACAAGAATGGGAATGTCCTTCTTAACTGGGACAGAAAAACAGTTAAAAGCAATAGTGATTGAATAGCCAAGGGCCCTCAGTCATAATCTCCAAGATTACATTCATAATGCAGTTTATAAAGGGCTCACGAGTGGCTAGTGGAATCTTTAAGTACTTCAATATTCAAACAGGTTTTAAAACCACGGCAAACAACCCTGTTACCTTCTACTTGTGATCACGTGTGCCTGTAATAGGCATTACTTAAAGACCTGATGAGTACATAACATCAGCAGGTTGCATATTTAACCATTTCTAAACTATGCATTAAGCTTCTGATAAGATGTGCAACCAGTGTTTCTTTCCAGTGAACTATTTCTATTAATTATTTAGCTACTTCTGAGAACACATATCTGTAAGAAATCCCAGTGGTATCAAACCTCAATGCAAGTCTGATCCTGGTTAGCAGTTCACAATTAACACCACATATACCGAAAAGAGAATTAAGAAACATTACGAAAACATTGCAAAGTAATGCATAAAAAGTTCACTCACTGGCACGAGAGAATGGGCTACTGAAAAGACTGAGGCACTGTGAAGAAATAATGCTTTTCATGAGTATTCCTAAGTATTCCTTCCAAAGTGCCTCACAGAGCCATTTGTGCTGATGAGGTTGTATCTGAAGGCTTGACGAAAGTGCCCTGATTCATTTTACAATTTGATATCCAAAAAATTGAACACATGTATTTAAACAAAGGGAAATAATTTCAAAGGATGAAGCATTATGCAAACACAAGTATCTTTGGTGTTGAAGCTATTCAGTTTGACTGGAGTTTTATTTCAACGTGTCCCTTAAGACAGAAAAGCAATTAAAAAGATGCATTTGAAAACAAAATGTCTAAGAAAAATTAGCCTTCCCTATCAGTCTGAAAAAGAAGGACTAAGGAAAAGCCCTTATCTGCTAGATCACTACAGACATCAAACCTTTGAGGTCTACAGACTGACAAGAGGTTAAAAGCCACTGTTTTAGAATAACAGTCAATGAAATCGACAGTCTTCCACCATCTGTTAACCAAGAACTTGTCCGGTCTCCAGTGTCTGCCACTGAGGTCCTAGAGTCCAAGTTTAACGTCATATTTAGCACTAGGATCCTATCTATTTAGCAAGATCCTGAGAGTCTTCACTACTTCAAGCCTTCTCCTGGCCCTCTTACTCCTTACCTCAGCAAGTCTTGAAGAAGTCATTGAGCAATTTGCAGGGGCTGGAAGCGAACAACATTGATGACTGCTCTGCGTGGATATTAACCTTGCCAGGATTCGTTTCATAAGAATGAGGAGTTTGTCATTTTAAGTTGCGCAGAGTGTTGTGTGCCAGATGACTTCTGCCTTCCTCCCTGGAGACAGCTACTGAGCCAGCTCTGAACAGATGTGGCTTTACAGACCACCTTCTTCGGGAAGCATCAGATAGTCAAAACACTTTTATGGCCTCCAAACAACTCATTTCTCTCTTTAAAACAAAAACACTCCAAAAAAAGACTTATCTCCACTAGGAAGTGGCAGGGGCCCCAGGCAGCAGCTTCCAGCTCTTTTGTTCTGCTCAACTTGTGAACCCAGGAGAACCTGCCTCACAGCTGCAGAAGTGGGAGCTCTTCCCTCCATGTTTTAGCAGGGAAGAAAGATGCTGTGCTGCGGTAGCATCAGGCATAAAAAGGATATTCCACAACCACTGCCGAAGTGTTTCCCTAACAGCAGGCTGAAGAAAAGCAGGGAGAAGATGGTCTTTTTTTTTTCCCTATAGGCCAACTTATGCTTTCCTTGCTGAAAAAAGTTAGCGTAATTAATGTGAAGAGAAATTAGACCAGAGGATGAGAGATATGGGAAGAGCTGACTTGACCCCGTGCCTTCTCTTATTAAACAAAACTTTGCTGCTTTGCATGCAATCCATAGAATATGAAACTCCACATACTCTGGAGTTGGCCTGAAGCCTAACAAAACTGGAACCACCCCATCCTTATTGGCTTTATATAGATAGGTACAGAAATATACAAAGTTGAGATGATTCATGCACTCTGGAATGAAGGGCAGCAGCACAGCTTTGCTTAAGCAGAGATATTCATGGGAGCAGGCAAAACAGACCGAGAACTCTGATGGCTGGGAAAAGCCGTGGAAGGTTGTTCTGGGCAGCTCTCGAAAAAGAAGAACGTTACTGGAAAAGTGGTCAGGGAGGCGATCCCATAGCTGCGAGAGGAGACTGGAAGGCGTCTGGGCCAAACATGGTTTAGCTCTTCTTCTGAACTGCTAGTCAATTGAAAAAAACTTGTGAAATAAATCGGCCGCCAAATGCCTAAAATTAAAATATACCGCCTCCCACCTGCCGTATGAGTCTTGAGCTTATTTCTCTTTTGGAGGTAGTTACCAATTTAAGTTATTCAAGGAGTTTCTCTGCATATGGCACAATCACAGGACAAGGCAAAGGCAAGGTACAGTATCCAAATTCTAAAACTATTCAACTATACATAAAAAGCTGAGTATTATGCTTCTTAAAAGGCAAGAAATGTGCTCTTCCTGTAGGCAAATGCTTGAGTACTGCTATATGCTCTAAATGAAATGGAAGCTCAAGATATTTTTAGCAGTATCAATATATTCCACCTTTTTTTTCAATACACAAGTGACACTTCAGTGCTTTAATGGAAACATTACTTCAAAAATGCACTAATAAAATTCAGAAACACCTAAGTATTCTAGAAGTATTCCGAAAGTGTTTTGAAACTTTTATAATCACCTCAGGATGTCGTAGCTTCTATGAAAAACTAGATTATTTTCCAAAACTTTGATCTCAGACAGAGACTGGTAATATCAAACTAGAGAACGACTACAGATTCAAGGGTGCTGATGTAATTTTTCCACATACAGTAACTAAACTCTGCAGATAGCAAGCAATGTTGGATTAAACTACTATGCTGCTTCACAGAATCAAAAATCATTGTAGTATATATTTGTATTGCATTAATGAAACATGCCAGCTCTAGCTGAACAGCTACACAGATGTCTAACCTTCAGAAGCCAGAATAACCATATGTCAAACTTCTGTGGTTTTGCCACTTGGTATTTTGGGTGTATGCCTTCATTTGTGATAATAAATATCAGGCCACAAACTAACGCCTCCTCAGATATCTAATATGTTTAACACTCAAAACAGCTTGACAATCTAAACATTTCTGCTGTTAGCTTTGAGTTCACCTCAAAGAATTATACTACAATATATACCAGATGAATAGGCTAGGGATAACACAACCATTGCCAGTTGTTAGGATGGGTTTCTCTACCATTTTGCATGTATATTTTTTATCCTGCAATACACACAAAGTTCAATCTCCTCTCCTCAAAGCCTTCATTAGGAAAATCTAAATCCACTGTCCTTCCCCACGGTTTCAATGCTGAAGACTGAAAATTTGAAAGTCGCTCCTAATCATGTCTTGCATACAAGCAGGTACAAAGAAAGGTTTGTACGCAAGACATCTGTAGAAACAGACAGAACAGTGCTATGTATTTTAAGTATCAATTAATAGGCCCCAAGGCATTTTCTTCACATAGCAAATGGAGAAATACGATAGCAAAGTTAAACAAACGACACAGCATCAGATAGCCAGTCTGGAACAGTGAAGGCAGCAGAATTCAACCCCAGCCTCTCATTTAAAACACCTCAACCACCATGCACTTCCTTCTGTATGCATATGCTCATACAGAATGTATTCATGTTATGCATGTTAGCTTCTGCACCTCTGCAATCAAACAACTAATTAGGAGAAGTTGCTGTAGCTTAAACAAAGCCAACAGTGTTACGCTGACATATGTTTTTCCAAAATTTGGTACTGTTACAGTATGCACCTAAGAGGAAGAGCTTTTGTTTGACCCTTTACAGATCTGAGGAATTAGCATCATAGCTGACTAAGCCCACAGGACGTATCTCAGAGGTCCAGCTCCTTACTGTAAAAGGCCAGAACACCAGAACTGCAAATGAAGCAACATCAAATACAATTTTATGCGGTATTGCTAGAAAAGGCCTCCCTCCTCCAACAAAAACAATAGCAATGATTGTCCTTTCCTCTCTTAGCAGTTTCTTAGCTTATACAACTCCACACTTCCAATAGAAAAAACATACATACATATATATATAAATAAAAAAACATAAAAGCCAATCAGTAGGGTCAAGTTTCTCCTTTTACAATTATGTTTCCAGAGTTGTCTCCAATCAAACTAATGCTCCAAGACCACAACTATCATATTAATGGTTACTTTTCTTTATTATCTACAAAACCTTTTCTGGCCAAAGTAGAAAGGCTCTATAGGAGTCCAATAACTTTACAAGGTGATGGCATTTCTGTGTTTATTGTAAGCCATTTCTATTGCGAATTACTAACAACTTTTCAAAGTGCAACACTGATTTGGAAATGCAGGCACACTAATACATCAATTGCCATGACTAATGTATAAACTTTTAATGACCTTGGCAAAATCTCTCTTTCATTGGGCAGGTGCCACTATTTTGACTGTACAAAATGTTTTGGAAATATGCTGAAAATTATACATGTTTTGGAAAATATTTCAGGATTTCAGTATAGCAAACGAAGCTAATATTAAATAAAAGTTTGACATGGAGGAGAAAACACTCCAAAGTTGTACAAGTCTTTTTTTTTTTTTTTCTAAAATAGAGATATCCTCCAAGTGTTGTACATTCACAGAATGTTGACTTTTTATCCAAACAAAGTTACGAAGATAAAACATTATCTTGAATGGTTTTCAGTTTCCTTCAGTCACTCTCATCTTCTTGTTTCAGACCACCTCCTTGTTCAGCACTGCCCTCTCCATCACTTTCCTTGTCCCAGTCTTTCATAGATGCTCCCATCATGAAGTCATCACGCAGTATATTCCATTCTGGCCCCTCTTCAGACTTCACTTCACTCTGAATATTTGAGGAACAGAGAAAAATTAGATGAATGTGAAAGGCAGTAAAAGATGGAAGCTCTTCATGCAATCAAAATAACACCTCTCACTCTCCTACAATTTGCATCAGCAGACCTACTGAGTGCTAGTTCTTTATGCAAATAGTACACAGAAATATGCAGGACAATCGTAAATTACTTGATGCTAATAACCAAACTTGTTTTAACCAACCAATAAAAGAAATATGGAAACACAACAATTATTCTTCATGGATGAAACAGTCAACCCTGGGCATAGCTTCCTTTATTAAAATCTTTCTTGGCAATCAGAATGGATTCATGATATCATTTATTAACCCCCAGGTGCTGCTTCATTAGAACACTTCTTGGCACATTTCTAAAACACAAATATGGATTTAATAAAGGCTTAAAAAAATCCAAATTTAATATTTAACATATTCTGCGATATGCGAACTGAATCCCCTTTATGTGGATTATTACCTCACTACCTGGACTTGTCATATGGTGCAAAGCTGCCTCTAAAAGAAACAAAGTTGATCTATGCTCAGCAAGCCAACAACACCTTAGTCCAAATTTCCTACCTCTTGAAAGTGGATAAGCTGAGGCCACACTACACGGCCTGGTGAATAATAAAGAAAAGTGACAGGAGTGTAGTTTTAGGTTAGCGCCGAAAACAGTGCTTGGTTGCAGTTCTTCCAGGTGCCAGATCACATTTGGGCAGTGCAACAGCCCCATCCTGTGGCAAGAGTTTTAAAGAACAGCTTGAAGCTATTCCTACATTCTTGCAGAAGGAAAAATAGTAAAACCTGTTCCACGTACTGAAGAAGGATTTCAGTGGCTTAAGCCTTCATAGCAAAACACTTCTGAGGAACAAGGTGGCTCAGTGTCCAGCAGGCAAGCAAAAAATTGTCCTGCCAAAGTGGAATCAGGAGCACTGAAAACAATAATTTACTTTTGCATGGTCTTTTAAAGAAAGTTAATACAGGCATCTCTTGCTCAAAAGGACAGATCTGGACTGACTCGACCTAGTTTAAGTAACTACCACCTTCTGATACTGCACAGTGGATGGGGGTCATGTTACAGCATCCTCTGCAGATGCAGCTTTGCCTACTACATGCAAAACCCGTAGTAAATGCATGATCACTGTAGACATTTGTTCATGCCTCTTCTCTGTCATGCATGTAGGAATATGTGATACACAGAACTGTAGCATATTTAAGCTGATGTCTATGCAATTTTGGGGAGAGAGCAGCATAAACAATTTAATAGCAGAAATGAGGAATAGAGAATGCAGGTCCATCACTGTAAATCTAACACATCATACCACACCAACAAGTTATATGAGTGCAAAAAGTCTGCCAAACAAGATCTGTATTTTTAATAGGTAACTAAAAGAGAAATGCTACATTTGCCTTCTCCTGCAGTTCTTTTTCAAAGATTACTCTCACAAAATAAGATGTCTTAACACTTTCCTTCTCAAAAGGAATCAATCTCCCAGGGCCCACAGTTCAAAAAAAGAGAAACTCTACAGCTATTCTTCAAGATGCTTGCACTGTGTTTTGTTTTGGGTTTTTTTTTTTTTGGTCTTCACAGTTGCTCTCATTAATGCCTACTCCTAACAGTAACTCTCCCATCCCAACAATCTCCCTTGTCCCCAGGGTAGCGCCTGCTAACCACTTTCCACTCTTGCAGCAATTCACTTTAAATGCTACATCCAGTAAAGCCTGAAATCAGCTCAGCTTAATCAATTACCTGGAATTAGAAGAGTTACAGACAAAGTAGGTCCCTAGGCAGACCTTAATATGTCCACAAAGATGACCCGAGGGCTGAAGCACCTCTCCTATGAAGACAGGCTGAGAGAGTTGGGGCTGTTCAGCCTGGAGAAGAGAAGGCTCCGGGGAGATCTTATAGCAGCCTTTCAGTACTTAAAGGGGGCCTACAGGAAAGCTGGAGAGGGACTTTTTACAAGGGTGTGTAGTGATAAGACAAGGAGCAATGGATTTAAACTGAGAGAGGGTAGATTTAGATTGGATATAAGAAAGAAATTTTTCACTCTGAGGGCGGTGAGGCACTGGAACAGGTTGTCCAGAGAATGGGCAATGCCTCATCCCTGGAAGGATTCAAGGCCAGGTTGGATGAGGCTTTGAGCAACCTGGTGTAGTGGCGGGTGTCCCTTCCCATGGCAGGGGGGTTGGAACTAGATGATCTTTGAGGTCCCTTCCAACCCTAACCATTCTGTGATTCTATGTTCACATGGGAATAATCTGTATTATGGCAAACACAGGTACTCTTCTGGGAAGCAAGGAGAGGGTAGCTTCTCCCCCCTCCCCTTTTTAACTGGATTTCAGTTGGTTTATATGTTTGCCTTCGCAGAGTTGAGAAAGGCCAAAAAGACTACAAAAGTCACCAAGCTTTTTCTTTTTTATAAATCACTGAACATGGCACAGAGTAAAATTTGAAATACCTAAATGGAAAAAATCCCATCTTCCTCACAAAACAAATAGATTTTCTTGGGTTTTTAAGTAATAATGAAACCAACAGAGATTCCTTTTTTTTTTTTCTGCAGAACAGGGATTTTTTTAATTATTATTTTCATTTTTTTTAACTGGCACAGAAGCAGTAGATTATTGTTAGCAATGACAGTGAAAGGCTTAGGTTTTGAAAAGCCCAATGCTCGAATTCATCACAAGCTACTATTCAGCAATCATTAGCCCTTCTTTCTGGCTGTGTCAAGTGAACAACAGGACAAAAGCAGGACCTCAACAAAAGAGGGATGCTGATCCTCCATAGCATTACCCACTACCTAAGGCACCACAAAGGTTTGAATAGAGTTTTACAACAAGCCCTAAGGAGAAAGACAGAGTTAGCATGTCCATGCCTTAAAGATGAAGATTAAATGCTTGAAAGCAAATATTTAATCAATTTTAAGCATGCTCCCAAGTGAAGAAAACCCCATGTTTAGTATCTTCATTCCTAACTCATTTACTGCTCTATTTTCCCCTCAGAATAAAAACTACCCAAATCTATTGTGTCACAAAACATTCCTGGAGTCTTAAGAAAATACGCAGCAAAGACTATCTGTATAATTAACAATCAGTTCAACTGTAACATCGCTTCCCAACTTGCCTTGTGTAAGAATGTTAATATACTTGGGTTTTCAATGCCATAATCTGGTTTCATCTAAATAAAACAAAACTGATTCTTGGCACATGGAAAATAAACCAACTTTCATTCTATACAATCGCTTTTGAACTTCCAGTCAGTTGTTCATCCACAACTCCCACATTTCACTACAACACTGAAGTCCCCTTTGAACATCCCCAAATGAAAACAAAGCAGGCTATATAAACATTAATGTGAAACACTACATAAAGTGGATCTTTCGGTAAGGCAAGGAGTGAAAAATTCTGGTGTTGCTTTTTTTCCCTCTCCTTCTTCATGCATATATTTGTATGGGTTTGTTCCTTGCTCGAAGGTGTGGCAATCTATTTCAAAAGGTCTGAGAGGCAGCAGTTAGCAAAATATGTCAGGAGGCACTGATACATGGTGATGCACTTGTTACCATGAGATGAAATAAGATAGACAAAAATGTGGAGTGTGGTTACCCTAGTGCACATCCTTATTTGCTGGGACAGACCGACAGTCCAGTTGAAAAGAGATCATATAAATAAAATAAACATAATCTTGCCTGCTCGGTGTGTCACCCAAGTTATCACAGCATTAGCTCAAGTCTGACACAAGTAGGGCTCTGTAGTGGGGACACACTTCCTGAACTAATTCTGGTTTGAAGACGTACCTTCTAAAATCTGCACCAGGACAAGATGAACTGAAATCCTTAGCCAATTCCTAGTAAAATAACCAATCACCCACCCACTCACCAACAACAAAGCTGAGGTCTGTCACCTAGAACAAACAGCCATCCCTTGCAGTCTCTGGGCTGGCATTGCCTCCTGGATGCTTTTGGAGGAACTGGTCTATGAAAGCCCCACAGCACCATCAGCAGCAGCTATACGAGCTAGATCAAGTAGAAATCTCCCTGGTTTGGTTCATTTCTTTACCACTGTAAAAATTTGGAGCTACGTAATTTACTCTTGGTAAATGACATTATAGTAAGTATCATCAACTGAGACCTGCCAAACTCAATATTGGAGCTGTGGCAGACTGCACTGGCACTCAGGTGGGAGATTCATCCTCTCTGTCCCTTCTGAAGTCGTCAGAAGCAGCAGCAGGATACTTGTAACTGCACATAGCCGATTCAGTCTGCCAACGAGCGCCTTAGCTCTCGTAGCCAAGCCTACTTTCTTTGAAAGCTTAAGGGAATTAAGTTCAGTCTAAGTCACAGGACGCTGTCATTTTCATCTGTTGCTTTACTGGCCCAGCAACATCCTAAAACCAGAGCAGGAAAGTTTGCCAGAGCTCTTCAGAACCCTACGCACGAGAAGACCAAAATTCCCATAACGCTTCTTGGCAAGTAATGGCATTAAAAGATATGTCTTGAAATCAGAGCATACAGATTAAAGACAGCATTTCACTCCGCTTTCCACCAGCTCGTGTCACTTGAACATACCCCAGTTTCTGCATCTGCAAAACAGCAGACATAGAATCATAGAATGGTTAGGTTGGAAGGGACCCTAAAGACATACCTACATCACTTTAGAGACTCCCCTACAGTCTGTGTCCCGAAGACAGTAACTGCAGGATATTAAACAAATGAACATTTTTCAGACCTAGGAATTACAATCAGCACGTTCGGCTCCCATGCCTTTGCTCCCTGTACAAGATGAAACGCCAGAGCTTGCAGGGGCATCTCTCTTTACCATCACATACATAAACGTTTATTTGTACCTGTCAGGGAAGGAATTTCTAACATAAATATCTCTCAAGCAACAACTTTAAGTCCTGAGAAAACAATTCTAACATGTCTCATTAATTTGAACTGCTTCCCCAGGTTCCTCCATGTTGCTCAAAACAAACATCTAAGATCTTGAAATACAGGAGG